TTTATAGCATCCACTGAAATTATATTAAGTACAACTGCTACTATTTTTATCGGTAATTGACAACTAAATTGAGATATAATCTAAGACAACCAAAGACAGTCTCACATTTATTTGGTTGGGGTGACGATATTAGTGTTGAGAGCTGGCAACAAGACTGAATTACCATATGACTTTAACTCGTTGATAATAGCTTGGCGTATGTTCTAGTTGGTGGTGGGTTTAACTAGTACACATCACGGGTCTACGCGACCGCTTAATTTTAATGAGCAACGAGGAAACTTTCTTCTTTTATCTTGTTTCTAATCGAGGTACACGTATTACGTTTTGGGCGTTTTTGATTTCGTTTCCAAGCTCTGTTGAACTTTCCCTATACCGCAAGTGATTTACTTCTTAGAGCAAATTAATCCGTATAGGAATGAGAGTACTTATAATTCTTTCGTGACGCATTCTTCGCTCTCGTCGCGGATGATGAGAAGTAATTTATCTAGCTCTTATTTTATTACGTGTTAAAGAAAAGGTCGTGACATAGGTCCGACTGTCTCTCCGGTGTTCTACTTAACCGAAGATAAGGGTACGTAGTTCATTGATTACTAAAATACACTAAATAAATTGCTAGTTTAACAATGAGAATCTTTGTTAATTCTGGAGAACGGAAACTGGTCATATCATAATAGTTGTCGAGGGCTTTGCATTCAAGGATTATAATGGTGATCTATCATTTGATCTTGTGAAAAGTCTGGTATTTGGAACTGTTAATTTAGTACTAAGAGGTAGAGAATTTGGTAGTTTGCACAATATGATTGGGCTAAGGTTGATTCGGACAATTTTCTTCAAAAAAGGTAATAATCGTGAAAGGAAATTAATTTATAAGTACTTATACAGAATAATAGTCCGATACCAAGTGTAGTACAAGTTTCATCAGTCACATATTTTTGGCGACAGGATTTTTTCGTGTTGGAGGCTAGGTCTCCAAAATCGGTTGATATTCTGATAAAAGATTAGAAGGCAAGGAGAGCTTTTTAGACTCTTCGTCAGCTTGTCGACTCACTAATGAATTTTGTTACCTAAATAAACTTCTCAAATGTCAGCACCGAAATCTGTGTAGTGATCGTGTCTCTGTCGAGACAAATTCAGTGTTACTGTAAAGATTATCGGAGTCTTTCCCTCGAACAGGATATCAATACTAAACGAGCTAGAGGTCACGACGTAAACTATGTAGCTTTTTAAGAACCAAAGTTGATAAAAACTAGAATTCTGATAAGAATTCTGAATAAGGACCTGATGCACGGTACACTGTAACAAATAAGATTGGCTGCACCGTTTTCCAGGTCGGATGCGTAAGACTAGAAACGAGACTTTCAAAGGAGGTATAATTTAATTTAGATTTAGTATTGATAAGTAAATTTGAGTCAAAGATGGCAGCAACTCCACGTCCTCGGCCTCGGGCAATATGAGTATTGATATGGCTGGGGGGAGTGGCCTCATTTATGCTGACATATTCTTCATGTCTCAACCAAGTTTCAGTGAGACAGCATATATCAATATTATAATCTGATATTAAATCATTTACCAATATTGCTTTAGATGCTAGAGATCTTATGTTTAAGAGTCCACATTTAATCTTCCTGTTGTGTTGCACTGTCGTAGTTGTTACATTTACTTTTATTAAGTTATTATGTGTGACACCTCTATTAGGTTTTACTTTAAATTGTCCTTGGGCAGACACACACACCGTTAATATTGGGTATTTTATTGGAGAGAGCGCAGAGAAACATATAAAACTGTGACTCCTCCTCCTGGTCTCAACTCCAGTTTGTCATGGATCCACAAAGCCCTGATATGTTTGCTGAAATGAGATTTGCACCTTCCAAAGTAGGATGAATGCCGTCTCTCTTAATCAGACCAGGTTTTCCCCAGAAGGCTGTCCAATTATTTACGAAGCCCACATTGTTTGCTGGGCACCACCAAGACAACCAGCGCTGAAATGATGACATGCGGCTATACATGTCATCATTGATCAGATTGGGGAGGGGACCAGAGAAGATTACGGTGTCCGACATTGTTTTAGCATAACTACACACCGACGCCACATTAAGTTTGGTGCATTCTGATTGGCGTAAACGAACATCATTACCACCAACGTGAATAAGAATCTTACTTTATTTACGTTTATTTTTAGCCAGCAGTTTAAGATGCGCCTTAATGTCGCCCGCTCTGGCCCCCGGAATGCATGTGACTGTGGATGCTTCGGTCTCTAAATTCACGTGTCTCATAATAGAGCTACCAATAACCAGAGTTGGCTTCTCAGCGGGTGTCTCGCTGAGTGGGGAATATCTGTTAGATACGTGAACGGGTTGGTGGGGACCTGCGGGTTTCGCGTTATGCCCCTTCTGAGCAGTCACCCAATCTCCCTGCTGCTCGGGAGTTGCCGGGGGACGGCTAAGAGGAGCTACCTTTTGCCGGTCCGCACCGGCTAACATGGGCTTTACTGTAGCTGATTTACTTTCTAAGATGCGGAGCCGGGCTTCTATGGCTATGATTCCCGTTTTCTGTAGAAGTATAACAGAGAAGTCATATTTTATTGTTATTATCACAGTTGATTCCAAACTACAGAAAAAGGACAAATTCTAGTAGTGTACACAAACTATTAAAGGAGTGCTTTATGTACAAAGGTGTCACTTTAACACATCCATGTTGTCCAAAGTTGGTACGTTTTCTATAGAAAATAACAATTTGAGATGTTGTAATGTGTATATTTGTGCATCATACCATAACAATGCTCACAAAGGTCTTGTACAACTGGTAACTGTGATGCATAAGACGAGTGGAGCCACTCACTTTGCTAAATCTCTTCAGAAATGTTTGGGTGATGTCACAGAGACCACATCCATATTTTAGATGGTCTATGGTGTAGTTTTATCTCAATTTCATTTTATGTAATGCTGTGTCAAGCAAAATGTAGACTCGTAACTCGGGCACACCATTTGTTTTCATTGGTTTGTATTTGTTAAACAAACAGGATCCTACTTTTGCCTATTTTTGATGAACCAGTACCGGTGAAACACACTCTGATTGAGGACATTCTAAACCAAGCTCATCAGCTAGATGCAGACAAGTTGTCAATGAATCTCCACTACTGCAGACATGATCAAAATTAGAGAGAGATAATATATATAACCTCATCCATTTTTCTTTTATTTCCAGAGTTGCAGTGGTGTCAAAGTCATTTGAAGGGCAAACGGACAAGACAGAAGAGTGGTACGGCACAGAGTACAAACAGGAGGCCATTTCTGAAGAGTCCCTTGAGGTGAATCACTGCTCCAATTAAATCACACATAGGTCACAATAATTACATTATAGACCTATCGCACGTTATATACAACTGACCTCTATCATGTCTATGTTATATACCTCTCGTCCTTTTTATGTTTATAAACCCACGGTCAAATATATCTACATGACCATCATCATTTCTGTGCAGAAATAGTGCTTTTTTGTTTACAGACCCTTAGTCCATGTTATTGTTTTAGTTACGTGGTTTTATTAATGTTTATATATTTAGTAAATCTAAATATTTGCTTCCAATGTCTGAATATTCTTTAGAATTGGTAGTTAATTTCTTTTTGAAATCGTATACTTGCATCATTATGCTTTAAAATGTAAACACACCAGTGGCATAATACTCCAAGAGGACAAAATCCCATTTATATTAAGGCAATATCATCAAATGTAGTTATCATGAAAGGCCTGATCACAAACAACACTTGTTTTTTTCCGACAATGCTTGCTTATCATACGCTGTGTTTCAGAAATGGGCAAGTGCAGACCTCAACGGCAAGTTCAAATTGCCAATGAAAAACGAGTTCATCCCTACCAACTTCGAGATCTACCCTCTGGAGAAAGACTCTCCGTCCGTCCCCACTTTAATCAAGGCAAGTGTGTTGTAGTGTTTTAGCAAAGTACCCAAAGTATTGTTGCTCTTCATTACCTAACTACGCTGGTCCTTAAGAAAATGCACATCTTAAAAACTCTGTTATGCTGTCATATACAATTTTTAAAAGTGATTGAGGCCAAAATACATTAATACAGTTTTTTGCCATCATGTCTTTTGTCTTCTCTAATCATGACATGAATATGAAATTAACTGTTCATTTCTTCCAGGACACTGCTATGAGCAAGGTGTGGTTCAAGCAGGACGATAAGTTCTTCCTGCCCAAGGCCTGCCTGAACTTTGAGTTCTTCAGGTGTGTAACTCACTGTCAACCTTTGGTACATCAGCTGGAACTAGAGGTGCAATAATCTGAGCCGGAAATCAGCTCTTACTTGATGATGTTTCAAATATTGTCCTTATTATAATAGTATTTGTGTTACTGAGTCATAAGAACTAATTGTGAAAATGATCATTATCAATATTTAAATGTTAAAAGGAGCTTGAAGAAATATTGTTTTTTGGATTAACAGTAGCTTTACGTTTTTGCCACTCTACCATCAATAACACCAGATTCTAGCCAACTGAGGATCTTCCTTCCTAGATGAGGGCATGAATGGAAAACTAAAGCTAATCTCCAAACCTCATCAACTAAATGACGTTATCGCTATAATCTTAATGGGATCGGAAAATGTGACCATTTAATTTTCTTTTCTTGAGGCGAATCAAAAGTGGTTGGCATAATACATATAATTTCATCTCCGTTTGACATTTTACTGCAGCCTTGAAACCAAACGTTCCGTACTCAAATGTTTTAACCGTTACATGCCTGATGAATACGTTCAATGTGTTTTATGTTCCGTATGCATCTTGTAGTACTCTCAGCTCCTACTGTGAAAAGTTAAAGTCCATTATGCTTTGTATCTATGCTGTTTGACCTCTGCCTTTTTCTCCACAGCCCGTTTGCGTACGTGGACCCATTGCATTGTAACATGGCATATTTATACCTTGAGCTCCTGAAGGACTCCCTCAACGAGTATGCATATGCAGCTGAGCTCGCTGGCTTGAACTATGACCTCCAAAATACCGTCTATGGGATGTATGTAAGTATTCCAAATCTCTCCCCATCGGCCTCATGCTGCATCCCAGATTTCACGTCCCCATCCCACTGTCACCCGTCTCATCCTCAGAACAGGCTGCTGGGCCTCAGCCAGGCCTTTGTTAAAGGCTAGTGTCTGAGCTCTCTGTCTGGCCAAATGACAAGGTTTTAACACCAAAGCAACATTTTAGTCTTGCCCCTTTTCACACCTGCTATAGCACTGCTAAATACGATGGGGCAAGGACAGTCAGATGGTGGAAATGCAACACTTTCCATTGGTTAGATGCTTCTAATAACATCTCTGGTTAGCACAAGCTAAAGAGATAATAATAATAATAATAGATTTAATTTGTTAGCGCTTTTACAGGTGGTCAAAGACGCTTTACAGATAATAGTGAAGAAAAAAGAAGAAAGGAACAACAAATAAATATATAGTTAAAGTTAGTCAAATAATACAAAAACAATCACACATGAAAAGCCAGATTGAAGAGGTGAGTCAGTGGAGGTTCTGGAGGATGGGAGTGATGTGGTCTCGGGAGCGGGTGTGGGTGAGGAGGCGGGCAGCAGAGTTCTGGATATGTTGGAGTTTATTGAGGAGGTTGGATGGTATGCCATAGAGGATGCTATTGCAGTAGTCGTGAAGTGATGAATGCATGAATCAGGGTTTCAGCAGCAGAGGAGGAGAGTGATGGGCGGAGACGGGCAATGTTTTTGAGGTGGAAAAAGGCGGTCCTGGTGATGTGATTTATGTGGTGGTTGAATTTGAGCTGACTGTCGAAAATGACTCCGAGGTTGCGGATGTGAGGGGGGGGAGATAGAGTGTGGCTTTCAATGGTGAAGTTGAAATTCTGGATGTCTTTGATACGGGATGGGGGGCCGATGATGATGATGATGATGTCTGATTTGGCACTGTTCAGTTGGAGATAGTTTGTTTGCATCCATGCTTTTATTTCTGAGAGACAGTTGGTGAGAGTGGAGTGTGTTGTGGGGGTGATGGTTTTTGTTGAGATATAAAGTTGGATGTCATCGGCGTAGCAGTGAAATTGAAGGTTGTGGCGACTAATTATTTTGCCAAGGGGGAGCATGTAAAGGATGAAGAGGAGGGGGCCAAGCACCGAACCCTGGGGGACGCCTTGGGACAGAGGAGCAGTGGAGGAGGTGCAGTGATGTTGATAAACTGATGTCTGTCGGTGAGGTAGGATTTCAGCCAGGAGAGTGCAGTGTCAGTGATGTTGAGTGATGATTCGAGCAGGGACAGCAGGATGGGTGGTTGATGGTGTGAATCTGCGGTGAGGTCGAGGAGGATGAGGATGTTCAGGTTGCCGGAGTCAGAGGAGAGGAGGAGGTCGTTTGTGATTTTCAGAAGAGCTGTTTCTGTGCTGTGTTTTGATCGGAAACCGGATTGAAATGGCTCAAAGAGGTCATTGGAGCTGAGGTGGGATTTTAGTTGTGAGGCAATGACACGTTCAAGTATTTTTGACAGAAAGGGGAGATTTGAGATGGGCCGAAGTTGGACATGATATCAGGTGTGAGTCCAGGTCTTTTGAGAATGGGTATGACAGCAGCCAGTTTGAGAGAGGGGGAACTGATCCAGATCTGAGGGAGGAGTTAATGATGGTGGCGATGAGCTGGGAATGGCAGGGAGGCTCTCTTTAACAAATTTGGAGGGCATTGGGTCAAGTGTGCAGGGTGGAGTTAATTCCAGTCATGAAGTGGGACAGTTGCATGGGGGTCACAGGGGAGAAGTGGGACATGGGCTGTGAGGTGAAGGGGGGGGAGCCAGGAGAGGAGGTGGGGGGTGCTGATGAGGGTGTCAGATTGCTATAAATGTTGCTGATTTTGGTTTGGAAAAACGAAAGGAAGGAGTTGCACTGTTCGGTGGTGAAGGACGAGGTGGCGTTGTCACAGGGTTTGAGAAGTTTGCTGATGGTGGAGAACAGACGCTTGGGGTTGCTGGAGCCAGACTGAATGAGTTGTGAGTAGTAATTAGACCGGGCTGCTTTGAGTGCATTACTGTACTGCTGGAGATAGTCTTTGTAGATTTGAAGATGGACTGTTAGTGTGGTTTTCTTGTGTTGGCGTTCAAGTTGATCTTTCATTGATTTAATTTGGCGGAGTTCGGGGGTATACCAGGGGGCGGAGTGTATGAAAGAGACATTTTTAGTTTTTGTGGGGGCCAGTTCATTGAGACAGAAGGAGAGGGTGCTGTTATAATAGTCCACAAGTTCAGATGGGTTTTCAGAAAGTGGGGGGGGGGGAAGAGACAGAGACAGAGACAGACATCTTGCAGGTAATGGAGGCAGTGATTGCTGAAGGTGAGATGGATTAGAGGTTTCTGTAGGTTATTGTGCGTTTTTGCTTTTGGATGGGGTTGTTGATGTCCATGATGATGGCCAGGTGATCAGAGACGTGGAGATTGAGGCTGGACAGATGATGGATGTCCACCTTTTGTCGTACGATATTTAAAAAAAGCTTATGTTTCATAAAAACAGCGGTTGCTAATGGGTGACTAAATGTGCCCCAAACATTAGCCGCCTTTAGCTTAGCTTTGGGGATTTCCAGTCGGGGGAACATGATATAGCTTGTTTATAGCTGTACATTAGCTATTTACTTCTGGCCATTGTTATTACGCTTCAAAACTCATACAAGTGTAAAATGTGAAGATCATCCTCCAACAAAAAAAATCGTTTAAGTATCATAAACTTGATTTTGTCACATATCTAATTTTCTGCAATTCTCCTAAATCCAATGGAAAAGTCCCATTGTTTGATTATTAGGGTAATTTAACATCCTACTAATTATAAGCCACATGCTCAAGGATACACTCCTTTGTTAAGCCAATTTATGAATAAAGTTTTCTCAACTCAGCGTCTCTCTCAGGGGTTTAATGTAAGGATGTGCGTGATGATTCCTCGAGGCGGTTAAACGTTTCCATCCTCCCTGGCTTGCACCAGAAATACCCGTTGGTTAATGTTATTCTCTTTTTAAATGGAAAGTGAGACCGAGAGGGCATATTAGAAAAAAAAAACAGCTTTGGTTGACGGTATTTTTTTAAATAAATAAAAAATGACTTTCTTTTAATAATAACCTAAATTAGTTTTTCAGAAAAGGACCTAATTTCTGAAAAATCCCCTCATCTTTAAAACATGATTTAACTTATTTCTTTTTTTTTAATGACCCTATTTTACAAAAAACGACTTCTACAATCTAATATTTGAAACATTAATAAAAAAAGATATACTTAATATTTGATTCAAAATTACTTTTTCTTTCACAAGAAACCCCAATAAAAATTAGAGATAAGGTTTGGTGTCGTTTTCAAAGTATAATTTGGTTATTGAAAAATGGGATTAGTACTTTCAAATGGCTTTCATGGTGTATGGAGCATTTTTGTATTCTCAAATCGTGCTCAATCTTGAGCTGTTCTCTAGTCGACCTCTCTATGTTTGGGGTGGTGGTTTTTCCCTCTTTTTTTCATGCTTTCTAGCCTCCCTTACACTCTGCACCTTTCTTCAGATGACCCAGTAACCTGCATTCATTAGCTTGCTGTGACTCCATGATTGCTGCGTGTCCTTCCAGACCTATATTCAGCACAGTGTGCGACGCGATGGGCTGTTTGTTGAGTCAGCAGCATGGTGTGGCTGGCTGTTTGTCAAGGTTAATGATGTTAGGAGAGATTACGTCTAACAGGTTTCACTGCAGGGACCTGAGTGGGGGGGATTAGATGAGTCTGAGAGGGGAGCCATGTAGCTGCAGGTTTTGCTGAATCATGAAGGGCCACAAGGGGACAGATGACACTGCAAAGTAAACATTCAAATAACCTTGACTGTTATTTCCATTTTAAGATTCATAGAAACACCTCACCATAAACCACTCTGACTCCCTAAGAGACTACAGGGTAATGGGATGAAGTGGTGCTTCCTATAACCATTCTTACTTGGTTTGTTCCTATAACATGTACTGTGAGGCTACTTTTAAATGAATTATTAATTGGTTTACTTTTTGGAAAAAAATCCACATTTTGTATTGCTTGAATTCCACCCTATAATATGTTTTAAATGGTTACCCATTATGCACATTTACATTGTTATGAGGAGAAAAAGTTGTGAAAGGCAAAAAAGAAAGAGTAATTTCGATAAAAAAATGCAATATATTTTTAGCAATTGTTTCTGAATAGTTTTAATTTTTTTAAATGTATTCTTCCAAATAACCAAATATAGAAGTGCTATTATATAATTTGTAATACATTTTGAAGCAGTGGTAGAGACTAGGGCTGTACAATTATCTATATTTTATCAATACCGCTTTGCAGACTTTTACAATATCCAAATCGCATAAAGTCCTTGTTTGGTAGAGATCGTAGTAAAAAAATCACACCAAGGTCGTTTTAATAACTTTTTCAATCATCATATAAATCATATCATGTTTTATTTATACAACACATTTTTAAAACGATTTTTGGTCAAGCCAAAGTGTGCATGTAATAAAAACACTTTACTGCAAAAGCAAACGGAAGACAATAATTTACAACAGCAAATATGACATTTCCTTGTGTTTGATTTTTATGAGTCGTGCTCCGCTCTGACTAGAAGGCCAGAGAGAAGAAGTTAGTCTTTAGTGAGGATTTAAAAACCCCTAGGGTCTGGGCCGACCTCACATGGAGGGGCAGAGTATTCCAGAGCCTGGGGCCAGCTGCTGCGAAGGCTCGGTGCCCTCGGGTTTTGAGCCTGGTCTTGGGCACTATCAGCAGCAGCTGGTCAGCAGACCTTAAGGCTTTGACTGCGGTGTAGCGATGGAGGAGTTAGGCTATATAGGCCAGAGCCAGCCCATTTAGGGCCTTAAAAACAAATAAAAGGATTTTAAAATAAATTCTGAACCGAACTTGAAGCCAGTGCAGTGAGGCCAGAATTGGGGTGATGTGGTCATGCTTTTTATGGCCAGTGAGAAGATGTGCAGCTGCGTTCTGCACTAGCTGCGTTCTGCACTAGCTGCAGGCGTCTAATTGACGCCTGGTCCATACCCATATACAGAGCGTTGCAGTAATCCAGTCTCGACGTAACAAAGGCGTAATAACCCTTTCTAGGTCTTTAAAAGATAAAAACGACTTCGTCTTAGCCAATAGTCGTATTTTGAAAAAGCAGGTCTTGACTACGGTGCTGACCTGCTTATCAAATTTTAAAAGCGCTGTTGAAGGTCACTCCAAGGTTCATGACAGAGGAGAGGATGTTTTTATTGAGGGAGCCCAAAATATCAACCTGGGAGGCTGGAGGTCGGGGTCTCGTTGAGGACATTTTGGCTCAGCCAGGATTTAATCTCTGTTAAGCAGTCCATCAACTGCTGTAATGAGTTGACATTTGAATTGAGAGGCAGATAGATCTGTACATCATCGGCGTAACAATGGAAGGGGACATTGTGTTTTGTGAGAATTGAACCTAGGGGCAGTATGTACAGTAGAAAAAGGATGGGGCCCAGGATCGAGCCTTGGGGAACCCCACTGGTAAGAGGGGCTTTACCAGAGGAGAAGGCACCTAGCTGCACAGAGAAGCTACGGTCTGTCAGGTAGGACCTGAACCATGCAAGGGCAGAGCCTGTGATGCCTGCGGATTGATCGAGCCGCGACAACAGGATGCTATGGTCCACAGTGTCAAAGGCAGCTGTCAGTTTTAGCAGCACCAAGACAGCTGGGCTACCTGAGTCGGCGGCTAGGAGCAGATCATTAAAAACTCTTAAAAGTGCTGTTTCAGTGTTGTGCATAGGTTTGAAGCCAGACTGAAAATGTTTGTGGATGCCATGCGTGATTAAGAACGACTGTAGCTGGATATAGACTACTCGCTCCAGGGCTTTAGATAAAAAAGGTAGCTGGGAGATG